AATGGTATACGTATTTTTATCGACGTTTTCGGTTAATGGTAACGAGACTACTTTGCGACTGCATGACATTGGCGCAATATTTCAGCAATGACCTTGATACGTCAAAGCGCCGCTCCAACCATGCCTGGCGCAGCATCTAAAGCGTTGCTGGCCTCGCAAAATCAGAGTGGCCTCGCGAGGTCGCCGTCGTTTTTGTGCCGTTTTCACGCGACATTTTACACTCGGGGGGGGGGGGGGGGGAGGGGAGATCGCTAAGCCTGCTGTTTCTGGCGACTGCGCTCCTAAGTCTTTCACAGGTTGAGTTCCCTAGCAGCTTATCTGTCCGGCCAAGTTCGGCAGCCGGTGAGAGCCTTGCCAATGCAGCGCAATGCATACGACAGCGTCATGAACATGAAAGCCGCTGTAGCGTACGCGGAGACGACAAGAAAACATGTGGAGCTCTGTTTTCACATTGTAAAAGTACTTGTCCCAATATACGTGATTTTAAAAGCCTTCTGACGGGTACGTATGTCAATGCCACAGCACCTGCCGTTGTCACTAGTGTGAAGTTGACCATTCTCAGCCTGCCCCAGCACCGCCTCCCCGGGGGTAGTGCTCGCCAAACCCTCTGGATCGCGGGTGACCACACTACATTCCCGGCCCCCGTAACCTGCACGACGAACAGGAATGTCTTCGGGCCAAGTGAAGCACCCCAGCCGGCGATGTCACCTAAACTGCACCCGCCCGCGTGACCTCCAGCGCCGCGGGGTCTCTACGACCGGCGCCGGGCCAACACTATCGTGCTGGCCGCGGCGGGCTGTACTCCCAAACACAGGCCGCAGGCCACCTCTAAGGCGTGTATTCTAGCTTACAAATCGTCGCGCTGAGCAGCGGGCACCGGTTGGCACAGTTCGGTCGAGAAATGGCGCCGGCGTCGCCCAGCCACCTCTCACAATAAATAATGGCACAACCAAGTCGAATGTCGGGCAGGGCAGGGCAGGGCAGAGCAGGGCAGGGCATGACAGGGCAGGGCAGGGCAGGGCAGGGCAGGGCAGAGCAGAGCAGAGCAGAGCAGAGCAGGGCAGGGCAGGGCAGGGCAGGGCAGGGCAGGGCAGGGCAGGGCAGGGCAGGGCAGGACAGGACAGAGCAGAGCAGAGCAGAGCAGAGCAGAGCAGAGCAGGCAGGGCAGGACAGGGCAGGGCAGGGCAGGGCAGGGCAGGGCAGGGCAGGGCAGGGCAGGGCAGAGCACGAGCACGGTGCAACGCGGCGCCGACCACGCGGGAGGACCCAGTCTCCGGTGTCAACGTGGCCCGTACAAAACAACATATCAAAACGAACGGAACGATTATGCTCTGGCGGACGGAGGCGCCGTGCGGCGCGGCGCGAGCTGGCCTCGGCCGAGCCGCCACGCGCCCAGCAGCCAGCTCATCAAATCGGAATGTGCACAGCGGGCGAGGAGCCGGCGCCGCCGGCGGCGGCCGGCACCACTGATATGTTGTACTGCCGCAGAGCGGTCCCACACCGGCCGCTACTCGGCGGCCGCCGCCGGCGCCGTCGGCCCGCCGTCCGCCCGCCGCTCCCTATTGCACGGGTGTGCGCGCGGCGCCGCCTGGCCAGCCGCGCGTCAGAGCTTGTAGCGGCCGGCGCGCGCCGCCGCCCGCCCGCTGACGTGCAGCGCCGCCAGAGGCACCGTCAGGTCGCGGCTCTGGCCCTCCACGGGCAGGTCGAGCAGGTGCTCGCCGCGGGACGAGCCGCTCTCGTCCGACTCGGGCGGGCTGGCGCGCCACCGGCGCCCGGCAGACCACGACTGGTCCGGCTGGAAGGCCGCGTTGACGCTGGCGCCGCGCGGAGGCCGCCGCGCCGTCGCTGCCGCCGCCGCCACCGTCGGGTCGTACGCCGCCGAGTAGCCGTCCAGGTGGTGCGCGTACTCCGGACTGATGCGCTCGCTGTAGTGTACGCTGGCCACAAAATCGGACGGCGGCGACGCCTCCACGTCGACGCCCGGTCGGAGGTAGTCGGGCGGCCGCGAGCGGCCGCGGTACGGCGTGCGGGGCGACATCTGGCGGAGGTGGGGCAGTCAGGGCGCGGCGCAGCAGCGGCTGACTGGGCGTGACACGGGCGGACCGGACCACATAACACCGCACAGACCGGACGACACACGTCCGACGACACTAGCCAAGACACCATCCCGACTGGGTCAAACGATGAACACAGACGGGAGCAGGACGCATCGGACGGGTCGGAGAGTCGTCACACAACGGCAGCGCGAGGTGAAGGTCACCGACGCCACGGACGCACACACTCCACCCCCATCACAGACGTCTCATACTATCGACAAAGACAACAACAAGCAGCTCCCCTGTTCACGAACAATCAGCTGATATCAGAGCGGCACGAAGGGTGGCGACGGTGCCAGCCAGCGCGGGGTAGACCGGTGCCGGCGACCCGCCAAGCCATACCACGCCGCGCCCCGCCTCGCCCATAGGCTTGCTCAACCGCGCGCCCGTGGAACAGCGCACCTCGCCCGCGTTGGAGGAGGCGCCCGACCTCTTGCGACGTGGCGCCGCCGGCGGCAGCCAGGCAGAATCCGTGAAGCGCAGCGGCTGAAATGGGAAGCTCGACTTACGGGCACGGCCGACAGGTGACGTCAGCACTCACGGGAAACATGCTAATGACAGGAGTTTGCGAGTGCGCCGACTGCTGTGGTCATCTGCGCTCAAAGACACGTAGTAGTCTGCGCTCAAAGGCATGCCAGCCACGCACAGCGGGATAGCCATGGGATTGTCGGTAACACTTTCTCGACAGTCAGTTGGGAAAACACTAGTGAGTGAGTCAAGTCATTTCGTTCAGATCTCTGACGTCCATTGCCAACTTTAATATCTCCTGAGGTTTCCGCGTGATGTAAGTCCGCCACGGCCCCGAGATACAAGTTCAGGGTGCCGGAGAACATCAGCCCCACTGCTTCCCTGCAATCATGTTAGGTTCTCTCTCTCTCTCTCTCTCGCTCTCTCTCATCCTCTCTCCTTCTCCTCTCTCTCTCTCTCTCTCTCTCTCTCTCTCCTCTCTCTCTCGCTCTCCTCTCTCTCTCTCTCTCTCTTCTCTCTTCTCTCTCGTCTCTCTCTCTCTCTCTCTCTCTCTCTCGCTCTCGCTCTCGCTCTCGCTCTCGCTCTCGCTCTCGCTCGCTCTCGCTCTCGCTCTCTCTCTCGCTCTCTGCTCTCGCGCTCTCTCTCGCGCTCTCTCTCTCGCGCTCTCTCTCTCGCTCTCGCTCTCGCTCTCGCTCTCTCGCTCTCGCAGCTCGGGCCTCAGCCGGACAACGACCACCAAACCGTCCCTCGGCTCCTTCCAGTCAGCCAGCTCTGGCGGCGGCTCCCTTGTCGTGCCGCCCTCGCGCCAGCCCTCACCCCTGCGTCCCGGTTGAGCGGCGGTCGCTGGTGCTTGGTCGGGCCGTGGTAGGTGTTGTGCGGGTAAGCCGAGGCGGAGGCCGGCGGCGGCGGTGCGTCTGTCGTCCACCACGGTACGCTCACGTTGTCCGTCCTGCCGGCGGCACGGACCGAGGTCAGACCAGGGCGGGGGAGAGGGGTCACACGGAGGTCAGGGGTCAGACTCCAGCTGCCCGGGGTTAGGCGAAGGTCAGAGGCCTGTTTCCGGTTGCTGGGGCGGGGAGGGGGGGGGGGGGGAGGTTCAGACAGAGTTAATAGGGACACCAATGACGGAGGATGGCGCGTAAACACAATGGGCGGCACAGATATGCGGCAAAAATCTGAACCTGTGAGGCGGCAAATGCAACACTGCATGTTGACAAACTTGCAGCCGGCGTGTTCGAACTTGACTCATCTTATTGCCGCGAGCCGTTCGAGTACGCTTTCTTACCGCCAGCTTATCATCACCGCGCGACCATCATCGGAGGCGCTCCGACGTCAACTAAGCCGACTTGTCACCACCCCACTGGTTAGTAACTGAAAAACCTAGTAGTAATACAACCAACACAAAACAATGCCATGCAATTTAATCACACCCAAAACAGCTCAGCACTACCGCACCGTCCCACCCTACCTCAGGCTGCAACGTGTCCCCCGGTCGCTCCAGCCCCCTTTCCCCGCCCGTCGCGACCACTCACGCTGCGGGAATGAGGCGCGGGTGGACGGGCGACACGTTGCTGAGGCGCACGTCGTAGCCGGCCGCCACGCCGGCCAGCTGCGCCGCCACATTGTAGAGCGCCAGCTGGAGGGCGCCCAGCCGCGACGGCCCGCCGCGCCGCTCGGCCGAGCCGTTGTAGAGTGTCGGCACCGGGATGTAGGGCGTGCTGCCGGCGGCGGCGTAGGCGCCGAGCGGCGCACCGCCGCCGGCCCCTGCCGGCCGCCACATGGGGCGCGTCACGGGCATGCAAGCGTGCAGCGGGCATGCCAGGCGCGCGCAGTGCAGGCGGACAGGTGCCAGAGGCGCGCAGGCGTCGTGCCGAGGGACGCTCGGGCGAGGCCGCGCGCGCGTCCCTGGCCCAGCTGATGAGGAGCGGCGGGGCGCACAGCTGCGCCAGAGAGGCCCACACCTGTCCGAGAGAGGCCGCTGGCGCCGTATCACAACGCAGTCTGGAAACCCCGGCCGGCGTCGTCACCACTCCCCGTGTACCGTCAGCACACGGCAGGCTCAAACACCGGTCCATGCCACCGCCCAGCAGACGCGACAGGCCGCGGGAGGGAGGCGCCCCCGAGACGGCGGGGCGCACTGGCGGAGGACCCTGCCCCGCACGCCAGTCGTCAGCACGCGTGCCGCTGACGACTGACGCGCGCGAGCGACGAGAGGTTGGGCCCGGTCCGTAAGTTGCGCCGCCCCAGCCCCGTGCACGGCCGCCGCCCGCCGCCAGGGGCGGCACCCTCAGCCGACAGCAGCGGTTCCGCGCGCGTCGCCCGTCTCGGCAACTATAGTGCAGTCGCACTGTATTCCGGTCCGGCCATGACGCAATCCCTTCAACTGCCTCCTGACTGCCTCCTCCAAGTGCAAAAGCAGCCGAGAAAAACAGCCCGTCGTGATACATGTCGAGCATGTTACAGAAACCAACAAAACGATGTACAAAATAGAAAATAAACACGCGCCATTCCGCGGCGTCGCGCCGTCTTGGCGCGTCTGTGTCCCTCCACCAAGAGTGCGAGACGCGAGCGCTCGGCCGGCCCCAGTGTCCGGTGAGACCAACGCCAGCTGATCACCCGCCTCCGCCCGAACCGACCAGAGCCCACCGCCAGCCGGCGGCCGCACCAAATCAGTCATCGTCGTCGACCGACGCACCCGGAGGCCACACGCACCGACACACACGCACGCACACACACACCGACGCACGCGCGCGCGGCCCTGGCGGCTCTGCGGGCGGTCCGAGCGCGCCGCGTCCACAGCCAGAAGTCCGGGCACGGCGGGCAGGCGGGCGGGAGGAGGCAGGAAGGCGGGGAGGTGGGGTTGCGCGGCGGGCCGCTAGGTGGCGCTGGTGTGGCGCAGCTGGACGGAGCCGTCCTCCTCGGGGCTGGTGGGGGCCGACCTAGAGACGGGCGCCGGCCGGCCCCGCCACGCCCCTGCAACAGAGTTGAGCGTCAGCTGCCGGGCTCGGCCCGGCCCGCACCGCCGGGCGCCACATGCGCCGCTACGTGGCAGGTGTCTTGTGCGCTAATTAAACCGGACTGAAGCAGTGGTGGACGTGCAAGACGAGCGCACGCGCAGACAGATGTGAACGGCAAGCCGAAAGGAACTTCAGGCAGGGTATCCAGGTGGTGTAGCAATCCGTTGTACATTGGTGCCACTGTACATACAAATATTTGCCAAGTGACCAGCACCACTTATAGAAGCGATGGCGCATGATGAACTAAGGTATAACTGGCAGACTTAAAGTCGAAAGGCGAGCACACTTCAAACATGGCTGTGCCCTCTTGCAAAAGCCCGGGCGTTCCGGAGCCTCCGAACACCGACGGAACCAAAGCAAACAAAGCTCTGTGCCTACATGGCCCAGCGCCGGACGCCATACCGGGACGCTTCCTACCGAAACCAATAAGGCAACGACGGCGGTGAGGAGGCATGCCCGTGTCTCAGATCTGTCGCTTACTGAATCATATTTACAGCCAACCGAAATCGAACGACCTGCAGGGTCGGGGACGGGGGACGGGGACGACTGCGGCAAAACGACCTGCAGGCTCGATTTGCCGCAGTCGGATACGGAAAGGCGAGTGTGCCATACGAGGGCCTTTGCTCACTGGATACGATCCGCAGGCGTCGGTGTGTTTTCTCTCGTTCAGCGTTTTCTTACTATGAGTTTTGGACACCAATGTCGCACGCTCCTGCCGCGATTAGCCCACGAAAAAGTCTGACTCATAAAATTCTGACCGTCAAACATATCAGTCATCCGAAAGAAATCGTGTATACATCAGTCATTCGAATGAAATCGCGACTATTCTTAGATGAGGTGCGCGAGCTTTCAGCAGGGCAGCAAATACAGCTTCCGTTCAAACCGATATCGAAACTTCTTTAGTGCCCTTCTTTGATGAATCAGTTGGTGAATCAGGAGCCTGCGAACTTCGTCAGTTTTCAGCAATTTTCGCAGACACGTACTTCGAGGAAAGCTGCGTATCCTTTTATCCCCGATCCGCGCGACAGAAATCCGCATCCCGTCCCAGACCAAGCGAGAGACAGGGAATAGCCGACCCACATGACTGCACTCGTTCGCAACAACGCCAACCTTGAGCGACGGCTGTGAGCACCACGGCCGCTCAACAAGCCCCCCAAATCCACGTGGCCGTGCGGTACACTTGGTCTTTCACTGCACACATGTCGGGCGCCACTCAGCTTTCATGAGAAAAGCCCCAATACTCCCTCTAGTACCCAACTCATTGTAGCTCAAGAATAAATTACTCTGCTAACCCACAACACTGACGGTGATGGTGCTTTTTTAACCTCGAAACAGGAACTTGTAGCACACTACTGTTTCGCGCCTGGATCTCTCGTGGCGTCATTCTCGCTAGAAATAACGCTGTGAGTAGCATTCCACATAATCCTTCGCAAAGATCACCAAAACGTGGACAAATATATGCAAGTCGCTTCACGCAACATATCAGCCAAACCTACCTCACATTAGGGGGTAGCATAGTGTACATTACGACAATCTGAGAATAAAACAGACTAGCTGAGGAAACAATTAGCCCCCGACGAAAAGTGTGAGACAATGTGCAAACAAGGTGGATGTGATCCTTGGCCGGCAGACATATTGCGCGTTTGTCCAAACGGTAATGATGTAGCTAAGCATGCGTGACGTATCGGCAAAAACTGAGGTGTCGCAGATTCCTCCAACAAACGTCACGGGCAACACACCGGACAACTACCACAACGCCTGGCTTCCGGAGAACAGCCCTGTGCTTAAGGGGCCCGTCACAGCTAGACGCCCTTGTATTCTAATAATCCAGCTGTACTTCGCACTGAATGCCCGTTGCGGCTCGGAGGCGTTTGGCAAGCAGACGCATCTCTGCTTGAAGAGCAACGGCCAATACAAGTCCGGTCCCCAGTGCCGACACCAGCCTTAGTTGGCTCGCCTCCCATTCAGCAGCCGCCGGCGGCCGTCACTCCCGCTCCGGCACGCTCCGGGCCTGCTGGTCTGGTGAAGCACCTTTTGCGTGCATTGCGAACACGTGCATTGCGGGGAGGGACCGCCCCATCCGGTCACAGCCAATGTTGGCTGCGCACGTGGCTAGTGGTGGATCCCTTGGAACGGCCCGGCGAGGCGGAGGGCATCGCACCCATGTGACAGCCCACGGGCAGCTGGTGTGTGACTCCCATTGGCTAGCTCGGAGGGAGGCAGTGCCGGCCAGCGCCGCAGGGGCGCCAACACGCCGAGCCCGGCGGCACGCTCTGGCGTACGTCGGCCGCATGTCAGGCGCAGACAGACGCTCGGGGGTGCACACGTCGGCTCATGACGGCGATGAGGGCCCTCCGCAGCCGGCATCACCCCGCCCTAGCCACGCAACCGTCCCTCTCACCCAGCCGCACAGCGGAACGCCACACGCCCGCCACGACAGTTCAGGGTGGGAGTGATGCTCGGCAGCTCGACAGTGGCGACGGGTACCACTCTCCACCAGCGAGACAGGCACCACGGCGCCTCTCCGGCCCGCCCAGAGCTCCGAGCGCCGGTCAGGACCGGGCAGCGCGAGGGTGGACACAGTACCAGCTGTTCGGGGCGGCGCACGGTGGCTATGGCTTTGCACGACACTGTCCATACACTCAGGGGTGGGCGAGCTGATGGAGAGCCTGAGCGATTGACTCACTGCCGTTGAGTTCGGGGAACACCTGGTCCCAGTCTGACCCGGCCACTCGACTCGCCGCTGCTGAGTTCGGGGAACACCTGGTCCCAGTCTGATCCGGCCGCTCGACTCACCGCTGCTGAGTTCGGGGAACACCTGGTCCGGGTCGGCGGTCTGTCCGGCCTCCATGAGGGCTGGCCGTGGCCGGGGCGCCCGCCGGTTCAGCTGGTGGGCCGAGCTCGGGCCCCACGTCTTGCCCTTCACGCCGTCCGCCGGCACTGTGGCGGCGCATGTAAGACGGTCACGGAGGCCAGGACTGTTCACGGCGGGTCGCCGTACGCCACAGGGTGCCACATGGGTCACAGTCTGCGACCGGAGAGTGGGGACACCGTGGCACGCGCGGCTGGTCGCCCAGAATCCGTCAATGGACTGGCATATGGGCATGAAACCCACACAGCCTGCGTAACCAAGCCCAAGCGCAACCTCGTGGGCGGCACTGGCGATTTGTGCTAGAGCCGCCCGCAGACGGATGGGTGGATTAACAGCTGTCGCTTGCAAGTTTCTCCACTTCCAAGGGCGTATTCACACGGTCCGTAGCGCAGCACACAGTGGTACACGGATGTGGCGTGTGGCTGGGGGGTTCGTGAGCTGATATCACACACCAGGTGTACGTGACATCATACGGATCACGGGGCGCCGCCACCTGAGGCTCAACGGGCCCCACTCGGACCGGAGAGCATAGCTTTCCCACCAACTGCAGGTGGCTGCAGTCAAAAGCGGGTTTTAGGTATACTGAAGGGAGGGGAGAGCAGACTTGTAAAAACGCATGTGCCTTACGTCTATTTAGTGTTTCTTAACGCATGTTCAGGGCTTTGGATAGCACGAAGCGGTCCTCAGTACCCCTCCACGTGCATGCAAAGATAAATACGGCTACAGTCATGCAGTTGAGCATTAGACACAGGGGCAGATAGGTGTGGAACACTGGACGGGTCCCGTCACGAAAAGCACAGCGGCAGTTGGGCGTCCCCTCAGAGGATCACCACCAGGATGTGAGCGCTCGTGCGCCGGCCGCGCGCGCCGCGCACCGGACTGGAGCGTGCGACACGCCGCTGGCGTCGCTGGCTACTCACGCGCGATGGCTCGCAGGGCGGGTGATGGCGAGGCAGGCGGACTCTCCGGACTGGCCTGGTGCCAGGCGGCGCCGGCCGCCAGCCGGTCAGACAGCGCGCCGCTCTGAACGGTGAAGTTATGGCGAAAGTCTGCCGGACACACGGCGGCGGCGGCGTCAGACGGGCGGACACCGCTCGGCCGCGGGCAAGCCCGTCACGAGCCACTGCCGTCGCCGGACGACACGGCTGACTCGACAGCGCTGTGCCCGTCACGGCGTAGTGCGTACAACAATCCGGGGAACGATCACTTAGTGAGCCAAAAGGTGTCAGTGCTGGAGACGTAAGACCACATCCGCGTCGCTCGGACCGAGCGCACCGACAGCGCGCAGGTCTCGCAGTCCGCCGGCGTCAGTGACTGGAGCTGATCCATCTTAGCTCCTCCTCGGACCGACCTCGACCCTCAGCTCGGCGGCACAGCGCCGCCCACCGGCCGTGCGTCCCGAGCCGGCCGGGCTGTCGAGTGGAGCCCGCTCGGCAGCGTCGCCCGCGCCCCTCCCGGCCGCGAGAGACGCGCCCCCGCTCACCGGACGGCTTGCTGATCTGGTGGCCGCCCTTCAGCTTCATGCGGCCCTTGAACTTGCCCTTGGCCCGCTTGGGCGTCGGCGCCGTCTGCGGACGAAGGGCAAGCGAGGTGGTCAGTGAGGTCACGTGTGCTGCGGCCCGCCCCGGCCGCCTGCTGCGGCAGCGCGACACGCAGGGCCGCCGCCGGCCCCCAGCTGGCCACGCTGGCCCACCGCGCCACGGCCAGAGGTCTCCACACGCCGCAGCAGTGCTGAGAACGTATGCAGCGACAGACCGCGTGGCGAACCAACGCCAGCCGCCGCGGCCGCAGCTGCTGGTCCGGCGGCCCTCTCTCCCAACCGGGCACAGCCGCCGCGGCCGCAGCTGCTGGTCCGGCGGCCCTCTCTCCCAACTGGGCACAGCCGGCCCGGCAGCCCACCTGCTGCTGCTGCTGAACGATGACCTGGATCTCCCGCGAGAGCACGTTGAGCTCGCGCTCGGCCAGCTCCTCCTCCCGGCGACGCAGGTCCACCTCTCGGCTGCGCAGCTCCTGGGACAAGCCGCGGCCGCCGGGTCAGGCGCCGCCATCAGCGCGCCACTCAGCACATCCGCACAATCATACGCGCGCGCTGTTTTACAGTACGCTTCATAATTTTGCCATTGTCGCATGCACTTTACCGGCACTGTATAGACGCACCGATATGTTACAGGTCTACCACGACCACTGCCGTTCACAGTCCGTCAACCGCCGACACGCTACCGTAACAGTCCGTCTACATCACATGCCCCAGCTCCCTCCGCCCCTTCGAGTCGGGACAGCGGAGGCGTCCCCCCTGTCGACGCAAGGGGGACGGTAGGGTCCGCCGACTGCAACAGCGCCGGCGCGCTCTGCTCGAGGTCTGTCCGGCCGTCCTGTCGTCAGCCCCACCTTCTCCCGGTGCCGGATGTCGCGCAGCACCTCGTCGATCTCAGACTTCCAGTTCTCTTGCATGTTGTAGAAGCTCTCGCGCGGGTAGGACATGAAGGCGGAGCGCGAGATGTCCTGCAGCTTGGCCAGCACGCGCTCGAAGGTCGGGCGTAGATGCTGGTCCCGGCTCCAGCAGGCTGGCGGCGTCACACATGACAAGGGTACACATCAACACGCCAGCACGCCCCACACCGCGGCGGCGGCGGCCGCTCGGTGCAGCGGCGCACTGCGACCAGCAGCTTCGTCGGACTTAGCAGACACAGTGCTCAACAAATAAGCTCATATCCACGCCAATGTGATGGCCGAGCATGCCTGGTCGACACAAGCATAACATGGAGGCATGGCCGAGCATGCCTGGTCGACACGTGCATAACATGGAGGCATGATTGAGCATGCGTCACACAAATCGCTGTGGTTCTTTGAAGACAACACTTAAGAAGTGCGTGTGACGTTTCTTCCACGCAACAGACTCAATCCACGTAGCCCGACTCCGACATATGCCGTTCCACCCACTCGGCAAGACCACCTCTGACCTCCGACCTCCCCGCCCCCTCAGATGCCCAGTGAGCGCTACTCACCGAGCATGAGTTCACTCCAGCCGGCCGGGCACGTGGACGGCACGAGCAGACTGAGCTTGTGCGACGCCACGCCGTACGCTACGGCCAGCGCGTCGATGCCGCGGTACGGCGTCTCGCCCGTCAGCAGCTCCCACAGCACCACGCCGAAGCTCCACACGTCGCCGGCCTTGGAGAACGTGCTGAACTCGATGGCCTCAGGCGCCATCCAGGCGTAGGTGCCCGCCTGTGTCATGCGCGTGGTGCGGTTCGTCTCGCGCGCCAGGCCGAAGTCAGTGATCTTGAGCGTAACGCGCCGGAGGTCCTCGCTCGTCTCCAGCAGTTCGCTGATGAGCACTGCGGACCGGTGCGGGACGGAGTCAGCGTCACGTGCCGCCACTGACCGACCGGCCGGTGATCAGGGTCAGCTCGTGAGCGCCGACAGCCGGCACGGGGCGGCGTCAGCGTCACGTGCCGCCACTGACCGACCGGCCGGTGATGAAGGTCAGCTCGTGAGCGCCGACAGCCGGCACGGGACGGCGTCAGCGTCACGTGCCGCCACTGACGGACCGGCTGGTGATCAAGGTCAGCTCGTGAGCGCCGACAGCTGGCACGGGACGGCGTCGGCGTCACGTGCCGCCACTGGCCGACCGGCCGGTGATGAAGGTCAGCTCGTGAGCGCCGACAGCCGGCACGGGACGGCGTCAGCGTCACGTGCCGCCACTGACGGACCGGCCGGTGATGAAGGTCAGCTCGTGAGCGCCGACAGCCGGCACGGGACGGCGTCAGCGTCACGTGCCGCCACTGACGGACCGGCCGGTGATGAAGGTCAGCTCGTGAGCGCCGACAGCCGGCACGGGACGGCGTCAGCGACACGTGCCGCCACTGACGGACCGGCTGGTGATCAGGGTCAGCTCGTGAGCGCCGACAGCCGGCACGGGACGGCGTCAGCGACACGTGCCGCCACTGACGGACCGGCTGGTGATCAGGGTCAGCTCGTGAGCGCCGACAGCCGGCACGGGACGGCGTCAGCGTCACGTGCCGCCACTGACGGACCGGCCGGTGATGAAGGTCAGCTCGTGAGCGCCGACAGCCGGCACGGGACGGCGTCAGCGTCACGTGCCGCCACTGACGGACCAGCCGGTGATCAGGGTCAGCTCGTGAGCGCCGACAGCCGGCACGGGGCGGCGTCAGCGTCACGTGCCGCCACTGATGGACCGGCTGGTGATCAGGGTCAGCTCGTGAGCGCTGACAGCTGGCACGGGATGGCGTCAGCGTCACGTGCCGCCACTGACGGGCCGAGTGAGCGCCGACAGCCGGCACGGGGCGGTGTCAGCGTCACGTGCCACCAGTGCTGGACCGTCTGACGGCCGAGTAGGGCCGATGGCCACTGCACGAGCGTGGACATAAACAACCCACGATTGGCCCATTTGTTTGCTGATTAGTATCCCGATCATTGAAGTCCATTGCAGCAAACATGCAAACGACAACAAAACGTTGCCGCGCGGGGGCAACGGTCGCCGAGCAGGCCGGCACGGGCGAGCACAGGGCGCGTGCGGGGCGGCCCGGGGCCTGGACCGTCGGCCGACCCGCCGGCCGCCGCCAGCGCCTGCCACTGACCGTTGGACGACTTCAGGTCCCGGTGTATGAGTGAGATGGGACCCTCGTGGTGCAGGTAGTTCATCCCGGTGGCGATCTGGATGGCCCAGTTGACCAGGACGTGCGGCAGTATCTGCGGAGCGAGAGGAGCCCAGGCTCACGCCCTGCTGTCGCCGGGCTCGATCGCTTACGCGTTCCGCTATCGCCACAAACAGACGCGGCAGTGTAAGGCACATCCTTATGGACTGCGCGTGCTGATCAGCCCGGAATACTCGAGCATATGGACACAGACAACGCTCGCCGCCGATTGGCTCCCGCCTGCGCTGCAGCATACCCGGGCGCGGCGCGTGGGGCCCGCAGGGCTGGCCGGCGACTCACCTTCTTCTGCGCGAGCACGCGACTGAGCGAGCCGCCGCGCGCGTACTCCATCACCAGGCAGAGGTTGGGCGGCGTCAGCACCAGACCCCGCAGTGACACGATGTTCGGGTGCTCCAGCAGCCAGAACAGCCGGCCCTCCTGACGCACCTGAGCGCGGCGAGCACATACGGTCGTCAGACTCAGCCAGCTGGCTAAGGCACGCGGGACACACCTACACTACAGGCACAAACCCAGCGCTGGTGGGGTCTAACACCGGTCCTGAACAGAGGAGGGATCAGCTGACGGGATGCAGGGGCTCCCTGTCCGCTTCCGACTCCATGCACGTGTCCTCACTGCTCGGCACCAAAGGCATGCACACGGATCCGAAAGTGCAGAGCCCGGTGATGTTTTTTTTAGTTTTGAGTGTAAAATGCTTGCAGCGTTATGACAGCCAGGAGTGAGACTCTTAACTTAGCAAATGGACAGGTCGACGGGTACAAACCATCTCCTGCATTCCCCATAGAAGACTACAGCGTGCCGGGATGGACGCGGGCCTCTACAGTCATGTAAAATAAAAAAGACATGCAACTTGCGTCATATTTAGCAAATCACGTCAAAATGTGCGCAGCATTGAGTGCAAAGGAGTGGTGAGCAAGTCAGCCCTGGACCAGCACAATCCAGCTGTCAACCCCCTTTTACCACAGGCAGGGCCATGTCTGTTTATCTGGGCGCGTCTGTGACTGTCTGTGATAGTCTGGAACCGTCAATGATCATCTGTGACCGTCTGTGACCGTCTGTGACCGTCTGTGACCGTCCGTGACCGTCTGTGACCGTCTGTGACCGTCTGTGACCGCCTGTGACCGTCTGTGACCGTCTGTGACCGTCTGTGACCGTCTGTGACCGTCTGTGACCGTCCGTGACCGTCTGGGACCGTCCGTGACTGTCTGTGACCGTCCGTGACCGTCCGTGACTGTCTGTGACCGTCTGAGACCGTCCCTGTCTGTGACCGTCTGTGACCGTCCGTGACCGTCCGTGACCGTCTGGGACCGTCCGTGACCGTCTGGGACCGTCCGTGACCGTCCGTGACTGTCTGTGACCGTCTGTGACCGTCTGTGACCGTCCGTGACCGTCCGTGACCGTCTGGGACCGTCCGTGACCGTCTGGGACCGTCCGTGACCGTCCGTGACTGTCTGTGACCGTCTGTAACCGTCTGGGACCGTCCGTGACTGTCTGTGACCGTCTGTGACCGTCTGGGACCGTCCGTGACTGTCTGTGACCTCCGTGACCGTCCGTGACTGTCTGTGACCGTCCGTGATCGTCCGTGACCGTCTGGGACCGGCCAGCGCCGCCAGCTCCGACGCCGGGCACCTGGCGCCGCGCCGGCGCACCTGTTCGATGGTGGTGGCCCAGTCGTCATCTGATGTCCTGGTGATAGCCTTGACCGCGATCAGCTCATTGCGCCAGACGCCCCGGTACACCTGCGGCAGCGGCGGCGCACCCGGTCAGCGGCGGCGCAGCACGCAGGGCCGGTCAGCCCGCCCCGGCATGTGACCGGGCATGTCGTCATCAGGCACCCAATCACACTGGCAGGCTGCTGGATCACCGAGTACACGCGGCACCACCCACTCAAACTGCCTTCACCACTTCTTCGAGAGGCCAGACCAATATTATTATCTAAGGTTTGAATATGTATAAATGAAAACTCCCCTAAAGACATCGCGACGCGGAATGCCTTCACGGTCTTGCGCGGCGGGGACTTTCATCCCGAACTGTTCAACCACGGCCTTACTTACTTGAGCCGTCCTTCACACACCTGATACCGTCTTACCATGCAGAAGCCAGTGTCAAGGAGGGTACAAACATGACCTTCAATGGTCCCGCTGACTATTCGAAGCCCCTTCGCGGGCCGCTGGGATAATGCAGCCCACGCCTGCTCCACGGAGCATGCCACTGAGACAGAGAGCCTCCACCAGACCGGCCGCGCCTACTGTTGCACCGCACCGACCTTGCCAAAGCCGCCGACGCCGATGATCTCATCGAGATCGATCTGCGAGAACTCGATGATGGGCGGGTCGCCGGCGCTGGGCGACGGCAGCTGGGGCTCCATCGCCGATACGAAGCTGGCCGGGAATACGCCCACCTGGCGGACAAGGTGGCGCGACTGGTCGGTGGCCGACGGGGGCGAGGCCGCGCGCGGCATCAGCCGCGGTGGTGCGCTGCGCCAGAACGTGAGAGCTCTTGCCCAGAGAACCTAAGCGAGGAGCGTTGAGGCAGGGGGAGGGTAGCAGAATGGACGGTTCACGGCCAGCTAGCATGTGAAGCTCTACGTCCGCTAAACGAGTGACTGCGTCGGCAAACTATATACTTTTTTTTCTTTAAAAAATCACCCATACTAACGCAACCTCTTTAGCGTCAATCTCAGAAGTGCCATAATCGTCATCATCGCCGCCTCCCCAGCCTCTTCGTGATCCGCCCCCCGCCCCCCTCCCCGGCATCTCCGCCATCCGCCCGGCCCACCCTCACCTGGCCGTCGACCTTGCCGATCCACCATCCGTCACCGCCAGAGATCTTGGTGTCCGTGGAGAGCAGCTCGACGCTCTGGCCGCGGCGCAGCGTCAGCTCGTCTTCGCCGCGGCTCTCGTAGTCGTGCAACACCAGCAGACGCACGCCCTCCGGCGAGGGCGTGGCCGAGGCGGCGGCGTGCGCGCCTGGCCCGCACCCGTTGGCGTGGGCCGTCGCGCTGCCCGGCTCCATGGCGGCGCCCTCACGCTCCGGCCCGGCCCGATCCGCACATCGCACGGGGGCGGCCACAGCTGCGGCGCACGGCACCAGGTCAACTGTAGGAGCGACCACAGCAATTGTGTGGACGTGATGGGCGGGGAGGCGGCGAGGCGGCGAGGGGAGGGGGGGGGGGGGGGGGGGGAGGGCGGTGGCGGATGGTGGAAATACCGAGTCAAAATGCACGACAGACTGTTTACAATTGGCGCATCTTTCTCTGTGGGGATTGCTATCGCGAGAATTACTTCGGGAGCTGCTAAGATACCCTTGCCATCTTTACATACATATTCATGGAATCAAAAATCAGAACACATGGACGAACTTGTGCTGTAACCAATCCATTGTGCTGTAACCAATCACAGGGACACCAGCATAACATCATAGGCATGCAATGGCATTAAGAATAAGGGGGTTGAGGGAACACTTGTCATGCAGATAGGCATTGGGCAATGCAAAGTTGCATCCTTTAAACATTTTAGTCAGACCAGCATGCACTAAAACAATGTGAATAGGAGGCATTGCTTTAACTGAATGGGGCTGGAACAGACACTGTTAATAGGTGTGGCAACCAAGCCCCCCCCCCCCCCCCACCACCGAATGGACCAACCAAGCCCCCACCATTGAATGGGCCCAACCAAGCCCCCAGCACTGAATGGACCAACCAAGCCCACACCATTGAATGGAACCAACCAAGCCCCCACCACTGAATGGACTAACCAAGTCCCCACCATTGGATGGACCAACACAGCCTACCATGGTCTCATGACAGGCACACACTCACCCCATGATATGGACAGGCACACGCTCCATGATAGACAGGCACACACTCACCCCATGATATGGACAGGTACACACTCACTCCATGATATGGACAGGCACACACTCACTCCATGATACAGACACACACTCACCCCATGATATGGACAGGCACACACTCACTCCATGATATGGACAGGCACACACTCACTCCATGATACAGACACACACTCATCCCATGATATGGACAGGCACACACTCACTCCATGATATGGACAGGCACACACTCACTACATGATATGGACAGGCACACACTCACTCCATGATATGGACAGGCACCCTGTTATGTGGACTCTGACAGAAACTATTAAGCTTGTGCTTGCTTGCCTCCAAAAGAGAAAAAGCCTGCATATAAATTGCCAGCCAGAAATATAGCACAACTACAGCCCTCATCACCGCTTGCTTGTATAGCTCATAGCAATACTGAGCGCAAGAATACATAAATATGGTGTCACTTTTAGCATCTGCTCCTTATCACTTTCTCATACATGTTTTCCCAGCCAAAGTCATAGAATCACATGGGTGGATAGTATGGTAATGCTCTCATGGCTTATGCCTGCAACAACCAGCACCCTGTCTTGCTAAACTGACAGTCCAGTGGCTTTGCTCAATGGTTTTGACAAGTGGAAATAGTGCAATAAGGCTGTATGCTGGTTATCAGAATCACAAGCACAGTAGCTGTCACATTGTTTAATAAACTAAAAAAATGTGGAGCTGTTTTTGAATGAAAGGTGCCTGCAGAGTGACAATCACACTTCTTTCACATGGAGAGGCTTGGCAACTCTATCAGAGTGTGTAAAATGTAGACAATTATTTCCATCCTTATAGCTTCATGAACAAAGCAAACAAGTCCTTACAAGTTAGCAATGACAAGCTAAATCACAGACCATGTTGCCACTTGCTAGAGTTTGTGGAAATGAACCTTCTCTTAATCAGTCTTCATCTGGTATGTTGCCTTACTTCACCCAAGCAACACACACAACCATGATGATTTTGTTTATTGGCACCCTCCACACTAAGCTGGACTCAAGACCATACTCTAGCAAGAGAAGATGTATTACACAATTTCATGTATCCTCTGCCAACAGCCCATCCTGTCCCACAGTTATTGCCCACACTTTGTGCTCCTGTTTTGTGCCCTTGTAAAGCATCTGATCCTTGATATTGAAGGCATGCTCAAAGTTTGTAGGGGTGAAGGAAAAGGAAAACTAACCCCTGCATAGGCTACTCATCCTTCTGAAACAGCTTAACATTCACAATACAGAGAACACACTGAATGTATATAGGCTACAAAAACACTAGTACAAAATATTATGAGGATGGTTGAAACTAGCATGAAATCAGTTCTAGTACAGCCTTTCTTAGCAGTATGCACCCAGACTACAACTGTGCTGTTGACCAAATTACATGAGACTGGTGAATGTTAAGTGGATAGCCTGCCAAAAGCCATAGAAAAGTACATCATAATTGGACTAGGAGATTTTTATAGAAGCAGACAATTAATGGACCAGCAATGAACTTAAACTAAAATCCAGACAACACCAACAGATTCTGATGACTATAGGAACAGAAATATGAGGGTTCTTGTGATTTGGTGAGGAGGGATAGGTACCTCTATGCCATTTGATGTTGACCTGAGATAACTGTTCTTGAACCAAAGTCCTGTCATTCTCTTTCTTATCCATTTTAAGCTCTCCCCAGCCTGACCACTTCTAAACAGACATTTAAGCTTAACTGATAGCCAAGCAAGGCTTCACGTACTTCTTATATACATGACAGAAACTCTCCTTTTCATATCTGCCCAATGGCATTTTAGGACCTGATACTTCTTAGCATGAACATGCAATGACCAATTAGATAGCACAGCACATGAACATCCTCATGAGATGTCCTGTTGAGGATGATAAAGACCAGAAAGAATAGGGAGAAAGCCAGTCATCCTAGACTAGTTAGCCCTGTTTGCATGCTGACACAACACACATTTTGAAATGTGCATGTGTTAAAGAACAAGAGTTCTTTCCTCACACTTTAAAAGGTGTTTACCACTTCTTACATGTACATACCACTTTTTGCATGTACATGCAAGCCATCTTGCACTTTTTACAAGCTGAAAACTGTGCTATTAAATTAATTGTTTTGCTCCCAAAACATGCAGAACATTAGAAATGATGCTACTCCCAAATCACTGCTCAGCTGACCCTCAATCTAATGCAACAACATTAAGCGCTACCAAATTTAGGCTACTGTACAAAGTTAATCATGGTTTGTTACGCAGCTTCTGAGCTACTACCACCAAACAAACTTGCCCTTGCATTCTGGAGCTGAGTATGAAGGAACACAAACCATGTAGCCATGGTGCTGACATCATATTTTTTTCATTTACATTTGCATTCTACAATGATCATGATAGTGGAATGCTATTGATGATACACCTTAGTGACTACTTAATCATCTGTTAACTGTGGCCTTGGCATATTTCTATGCAGGTGCTGTAATACTAATACCTTAATCTGTACCATCATGCACCAGATATAAACAAGGCTTAATCGCAAACCTAGATATAACAGCTGAATAACAGGTAAGATGGTCACAATCTAAATCTGCATTAATAATGCTGGGTGCATCCTATTCCTATCAATCTTGATTTTTATGTGTTCTGTAATAATTTTGCTGGTGTGTCAACTATAGCCTTAAAAAATAAAGACTGTGCAGGACAAAGACACACAATTTCACTATATCTATACTGTACCCACACACACATCTAACAAAACAAACAACAAAAACAAACTTTGTTTTCAGGATGCCTTACATTATCAACACTAGACATCTATTCATTAAATGAGGCATTATTAATAAGTGTCATTCCCTGCACAGATACTAGATGGAACATACAAGCTTAATCCTAAGGCTCATGCTTAAACTTCCTCCAAGGCATGACCCCATCATCACTCTCTTGCACTTTTGATTCTACAAGATAAGAAACCTTGATGACATTTACTGGTGAGCCAAATACCAGTACACACACTTAAAGCATACATATGAGAAGCAGTTGTACCACTTTCACTTGAAACACAACATTCCTCGGCGCCACCACATAAAGGATGCCTGGCACCACCCATGTTTGACATGGAATCTCGCCAATCACGCCGCGCTGCCCATAATCAAAACCCAGCGATCTCGGGGGCGACGCACAGCACCCCGCCCATTGGTACGAGTTTTCTACTTCATTACAGACAAAGCATCTACAAGAGGCCATTCCGAAAGGCTTAGGAACGTTCAATTAGGTGATTTACCTGAAAACCTTCACATCTGCGCCCAATCCCGACTTGCTGTCCCGATGCGCTGAAATCCACGGATAGCAATCAACCAAGGTTAACCAAAAAGACGAGCCATGGCCCCAAACCAACAGACTGGAAAAGTCATGCTGTTGCCCTTCGCTGAAACGCTTGTGCAATACACTGTTTCACTTGGGTATACAACTGGTGTTCCGATGCTCCGCTGTTGAAGAACGCGAGACAGTTTCGCACCAATAAAGGAAGATCATTCCTGGTGGCCCATTAGTCTGCCATCCGCATGGACGACGCAGATGGTGCGTGCCACAATCCCACATAGGCTACATCTCCGCCGTACCATTTTCATAACCCTTTTGTGGTAAGAAGCAAGTTAGTTCCAATTTTTTTAATGCACCTTCATAGGTGTAATTTCATTTAGCTGCCTGGTATACAAAAATATGGTGAAACGAAATATGTTCTAATAGTCTGCCTCAGGGTAGCTAATATTATTGTCATCGCACTGACCTTGGTTTACCCGCTTGAACTGTCAAAGTTTTAACACCGAACGAGGGCAAAAATTTGCAATCATTTTCTTGAACTATCACCAGTTGAAAAATCTCAATCACAAAACTGCTATTTCTTCTTGTTAAGTGACAAAAGATTACGGCAAAACTCGACTACAGCTGTTTTCTTCGTCATATCACTACTTAGCAGCACTTTAGCATTTCTTCATTTCTAGAACATCCCGTTCGGAGACATCCTTAAGACAGAAAATTGCTGGAAGCCTGGCCTGTGATTGGTTTTAGATTCTATAAAGAAGCACAATTGGTCAAGAAGAAGACGTATCTAGTCAATTTATTCCTTAATTATGGCCACTACGCTGATTAACATGCGATGATCCAATGCTGCATTCGCAGCCAGCTATCAGCGAAATAGTTGTTGATACATTGCGTCGTGATTTGCTGAAATGGTCTAACTGACAGCCAGATGAAGCGAACACAGGGATGGTTCTCCAGCTGGTCCTAAGCGCCGAACATGCGGTCATACAGCGAAGTTCCGTGTAGTAGTCATGAGTAAGGCTGTATTCAGCCGGGTTTGGTTTGGAAGTGGAGCGCTGCTGTTCGTCGGTCGTGGACTACGATGGGGTCGTACCGATAATTATGCAGAGATGACTCTAGGCTTGTGATGAGAAGTGTTGCATTTTTCACGCTTAGAGGTTTCATTTGAGGTCCTGTCAGCAGTCTTGAGCGCTGCGTAATATGGCCTCCCAGAACCTTGAGATTTTTAGACATGTCTTGTGGACGTCTGTTACTGGAGGATGGTTTTATGATCCACATCAAAATGTCATCATCAATACTATTCAGCTTTACTTCTGGATTTTACTTCTTTGTGCTCCATTTCTTATCACCATGGTAAGCAAAGATTTTGATGTTCTTGTTACCTACTGCAATTGTACTGCCTACCCAAAAAAGAAAAACACATCTTACTTCTGCCCTTTTGAGGCTGATTCTCAAATGTAAGTGCCTATGCTTAAAATATCATTGTGACTCAAACAACTGCACATTGTATGCACATAATGGACAACAGCAGCATTGCAAACTTGTCTCTAGTTTGTGGTACTAAGCTCTCAGCTGCCCATGGTTAATTTTTTCACGTGGTCAACAGGCCTGGGTAGTTGGCTTGGACAATATGCAGCATACCCTTTTTCTTTTTTGGTGTGGCAGGTTACATGTATGTTGATATTGATAGCCATGGAGAGAATTGGACTTGGAATATCATGCATGCTCAGTCACAACATCATATTCACATGCTGTATAAATGCTTTTAGTAAACCAGGTAAAATTCTGGGCATATGTGAGGAGCTTTGTGAAGTGCCAGGAAAGAAGTGTCAACATGCAAGGCATATGAATGCACTACATTCAAATGGTTCAGGCATCTAATGGTCATGGCTGTGCAGAAAAGTTCATGTAAGCATGCAGGATAAGTGTCAGGAAAGCAGTCAGCTAGCAGGATGCTATGATATCACAATGACAATTTGAAGCCAAATGTCCTAAGTCTAACCATAGCATAGCCAAACAGCTTAAAGCTGCATGTAATGTAACCTAGCTGCAATTATCATGGACCAAGAAAACTTATGCCATACCCAAGTGGTTCACATCTCTCTACTTTATTCCCATGTACCCATACTCTCTGTTGACATCAGAATCAGTCTGCAGATGGAAAAGGTTTGAGATATGCTTATTTAATAGCTGCATCTATTGGCATAGCCCTTGTCACAACCTTTCCAGTATTGCTTTTTGGCATAAAATTACAAAATTTTGGATTGTTCTTTTGCCACTGTGATTAGTAAAAAGCAATACAGGAATAACACTTGCCTTAACAATGTTGTTCTCTAATCAAAGCTCCCTATGCTCACTCACATTTGCCAGTAGCACTATCACCAAATGAATTGTATAGGTTTAGTGGTGCATCTATATTTTTTTCCAGGAAGGGGCAGCTCAGGGCTTGGGTTCTCTTTTCAGCAAGGGCCCCAGTTTATGGCTATGTCTGGTCTGGGGATTCATAGGACTATCTAGGGCTCCAGACCCTGGATGCCTTGAAGACCAGCATATTGTTCCTGTGTTTGTTATCTTTCCACATGGGATTTATATGCTTACACTACCATTTCACACTGTTACTATTGATCATTTTGCAGTTGATGATGGGAGTTAATGCCACTATTGTTTGGTCCCAGCTAACATGTCAAACTGAGACCAATGTGAGTCCATGATGGGTGGCCATATGGGGCCATCTTGGCCGCTGACCTTGATTTCATGTGGGCATGTCATGGCCAGCCAGCTGGATCCCACATGGACAACTGATGTGGGGCCTAACTGGGACCCACATGGGTATGACCAGCTGGGACCCACATGGCCAGTCCAGATAGAACCCATGTTACCACTCCAGATGGGCCTCAGTTCAGCACCACAGACCTGCTCTTGCACCCTAATACCAGGCAGACTGCTTCATATCATCAATGATAACCTGGGCCAAGTTCAGCCACCATATAGTTGTTTGGTATTGCCTCAGCAAGAGCACTGTCATACAAAGTGCACACTTCTCTGTTCTCATGTCCCATGTGATGATCACTTAACTATTAATGAATGGATTCTATGCACTGTTATTGCTGGTGTTGAGAGGGTGGTGTTTCCTGCCATTGTCACAGTCTCATCTGCCAAAACCACTTCTGTGGTACCTCCTTCGCTTTGTTGCGGGAGACACCCTGGTCCGCTAAGTTACACAGGCTGGCCTCTAGAAAATAATTTTCATCCCCTGGGATTGCTTCTCCACACTCTGGGTGTGATTTTGAATGTATGTACTCAGTTTTTAGTACTGAAGTAACTGATTTCACATTTAGTTGTGCTCTGGGTCTGATTATGATGAAACTATGTCAGATACCTTAAAGAGTTGAAAAATGTGCCAGACATGCACCCTGTAGATATAAATACCCAACATCACTGGATGTCATGACATGATTGAGAGCTATATCCTCTGTTGCAATTACTCTTAATGTTGCATGTGCTCATGAAAACAATTTGTCTTACCAGGATGTGGCAGAGATAAACTGTTGGCTGAAGTGATACTTGCATGCATTCTCTTAGAGCATTTGCATGGAAAATGCTACTTTGTTTTTTTTTACATAGAGCTTGCTTGCATGTTCATGCCTGCAAGGAAAGGCAGCTTGAGCTCTTTCTGTTAGCACAGGCTCATGTTATGGTTGATGCTGTCTTGGACAGGGCCCAACACTGAAAGCTAGTTATTGTTTGCCCTCATCACTTTATTTCTTTGAATGCAGTCTTCTGGCTAGTGTTGCTTTTTCAACTTTTGCCCAAAGTCTAACTTGTTCATATATTTACTGCCTTCTTGCAATGATATTTGCTGCTTCATTGCAGCCACATTTGCTGCTCAGTTGCAGTTACATTAACTGCTTTATTACACTGGGCTTCATATGACAGGTATTCAGGAGCATATGATTGGGGTGATGTTTTGGCCATGGAATTTTGAGTTCATGGATTCATCATTGATCTGTGCCAGTCCTGGTAGTCACTGGGAAGACACTGTGTCCTAAAGAGCTAAGCAGTGTTTTTTCCGCATAGCAGCCACTGATTATCCCAACTGCAATCTGTTGTTTATAGTGTGAGCAATGTCTTCTTAATATCAGCAACTTATTTCTCACCAAGTCTTAACATCCTTTTATTGCCTTGCTGGAATTTCACTTTTATGCTGTGGTGGGTTTTGAAACAGACCACCAGGAGCAGAAGCTCGTGTTGCTCCCGTTCCGAAGGTTCTCCGCGGATCTTCGTCGGACTGTGGCCGGCCTTTGTCGGAATGTGGCTGGCGACGGTGATTTTGCAGTTATCTCCAACGTACCAGATTACCAACGGCATCGGCGTAAAGCGATCTTGCCACATAAATACTCTTGGCTGCAGGCGAGGAGACGGGTGCCCATTCTCACCAAATTATTTGCGGATTGGTGACTTATGTTTTTTGAGGGTCGATTGTGTATTCAACTCATAATTGCCACCTAGCAAGGAGTGCCTCGGTGTAAAGGTAGTTGACTGTTGTACCAATACTAGTTTGTTTACAAAATGTATGACGCTGATGCTGTCCAGGCCGTGGGAAGGGTAGCTTGTGCATAGCCCGGTAACCCCACACATGCTGGACCGCGGACAGCAGACTCGCCACAGCGGACCACCGCCGGCTCCCCGTGGCGCCTTTTGACGACGCGCGTATTTGCCGGGATGGTTATGGTACCGCCCTTGCGCGCTTACCGCAGTCTAGTCTGGCGCGGTCCAAGTGCCGCTGACGGGGGCGCTGGGACACGACTTGAGCCCGTGCAGCGCCGGGTCCGGCCCATATCCTGGCGTCCCGGCCCCGGGCCGGCCTTATGGTCCTCGCGTCAGTAACCGGGTCTCCAGTCCCTGCCTGCGGGAGCTGGGCTCTCACATCGACGGTGCCTCTCCCGCGGGAAGGTCATGTTTTGTCCGCCGCGGAGGGATCTCCGCCTCCTCTGGTAGTTCTCAGCGCATGTCACGGTCCCCGCAGCATCTATCTACACC